ATGGCAAAGAAGGGGGAAACAGACTGGACTAGTGAGGCAGCTGGTGTGTCTAAAGCCTCCTTATTGTGCAGGCTGAAAGGCAGCGTACAAGTAGGTCATAATAACAAGGGAGATATCAATAAAAACAATTTACACAGCAGAAAGAAAACTGTTCTGATATCAATATTTTCACGCTTAATGATGGTGCCGTTCAAACTATCCTCCTGGAACCTTAGCCTTAGAAATGTGGTGATCGATTCCCTTTACTGGGCTGTTTGTTTTAAATTAGCTGACGGAATGTAGCATCGAATAGTCTGAGCTGCCAGTCACATGGTAAAAGAGCATTTATTTTTCTAGAGTATTGGCAATCACACTGAGAGACTAAGTAATGATACAATTACCCAGTGTTAATTGTGACTGTGCCTACTGAGGGTTATGCAAAAATGTTTGGCTAGAAATGCTCATTTAGAAATCATTGCTTCAAAGTAAATTTAAGCCCTCGCTGGAGCTAGCGTTCGATGAAATGTGCCTGTGGTTGACTCCCCAAGGTGACAAAACACAATTCCTGCCTGAGCTCAGAAGGTTGTGGCTTCAACTACCCTAAGATGGGACGGCAGCTCAGAGTCTAGGCTGACAATCCAGTCCAGCATCGGAGTATGGCTGCACTGACAGCACTGGTGCTCTGAGTTGTGAGCCTGGTTGAGGGGACACTATATAAATACAAGTTGTTGTTGACAAAACGTTTCGCCCTTCGATGAGAGTTGAACAAAATCAAAGTTCTTACTGCCGTATTCTTTGGGTGGAGAAAGATCCCATGAGACTATTTTGAGAAGAGGAAAGATACTGTCCCAGTATCCTGGCTAAATATCCTTCAGATGCATTGATCATTCACTTCCTGTGTGTTTGTGGGATCCTGCTGCGTGCAAAATAACTGCCCTGTTTAGCCTTCAAGCAAACAGTCATTACACTCGTCAGCAATTAACTGTGAAAGAGATTGCCAGGGGATGGAATACCTAGCCGGGTGCAGTGGTCGAGACAGAATCCATATTAGCTTTAAAAGGGAACGAGATAGAGATCTAAAAGGTGTACGAAGAACCTCCTATCAACTCGACCCTGGCTTAGCTTGTCACAAACATTTAAGTCCTCATGTCTTCAATATCGTGGCCACATTTATTTGTGTATTTTTACATATGCCTAACTCACCATTCCGGATTACTGAGCCATTTTCCCTTGGAGGGATGAGTTATCAGGAATTTACTGTAATTTGCAAGAGTGCGGGGGTGGGGAGGGGGAAATTCCCCATTGTGACCTGGGGCAGGTGGCAACTCTGTGCAGCAGTAGACATCCTGTGTGAACAGGAATGGATCTGGCTGTGAGATTACCTGTTGCTGGACTCGCACAAAACAAAAAAATTATAATAATTCTTGCATTTGATTTAGCTCATTATCACATCTTCGAGTCTCAAATATATATTTTGTGGACGAAACGCGGCAGCCAATTGCTCACAGCAGTGTCCCGCAAACAGTCGAGGATTGAGTGATCAAATTATTATGATTTATTATATTTTTTGAAGGGATTATTACCCCCGGAGAAGTGATACAACCATCAACAAAAAAACTGGTTAACATTTTAAAATGTATGGTCATGAGGGAAAAGTACTGGAGAGCAACCAGCGCCCGTGGAGATGTACATCCCAGTGAGACAGCAACTCCAGGGCAGACAGTGTTAGAAAGAAATCCTGAAGCAAAAGTTTAAATAACAACAGCTTGTATTTATATAGAGCCCTTCATGTGGGGTGGCGTCTTGGAGCACTGGACAGGCAACAGTCTAGTAACAGTCGACAGTGGCAGAAATAAAGTGTTTCTTTAAATTTAACAGTAATAGATCTTAAACGGCTTCTCACAGATCAACTGGCCCAAAAAAAAACTTACTTTTTTGTTGTGCAGCTACGAACGGTTTAAAAATAGATCATATAGTTGAGGCACGCAGAATAATGAGCTGAGCCATTAGTGAATGTGCATTGGAGAGTGCCGTGTGATCGTCAGCATTTAGAGAAAGATAATATTCTTACAGTTACGCTAACAATGATAAAGTGCACTAATTACACAAACACCTACACCACAAGCTCTTCCCATCGCAGGATTCATTTTACTCCTCTGGTGATCGTTCCTCATGACCGTGAGAGCCAGTGTCACTGCTGTCCTCAGATCTCCAACGGGATGTGGCAATGGAGCTCCTTACACTCTTGTCATTTGACCATTGTGCTGCAGAAATTCCTGTACTGTTGTCACTCGCAAGAACGGCTCATTCCTCCCAGAGTAGCGAGTGTGCCAGCGACAGAACCAAGCAGACATACACTGGAAGACAATCCGAACAGTGCTTTACCTTTCTTTGTATGTATATGTTTCAAAAGAATATGTTGGGCCCATTTATTCAGCTTAGGCAAGTATGTGTCATGGCTCACTTACCCCATTATTATTTCCAGTGCCTGAGGCAATGGCATAATAGCGGTCACTGTGCCCAGCACATTAATTAAGCCCGTGCACCGTCAGGACTAGCAAATGAACATACTTTGCAAGTCGAGTTTTTGCGCCTTGTTTATTAATTGAAACATCCCACAACTCTCTACGGATGCAAAAAAGGTCTGCCGTGCTTTCAAATCTCATAAGGAACTAAAGGCTAGTTAATGCGATGGATGGAAAGGAAGAGTATTAACTGTGAAGCTTCAAATAAGCAATAAGCTTTCGCAGATAAGACCAGCAAATATAAGCAATGTAATCAGTATTTAAGACTCTGAATGCTGCATTGTCACTAGCTCGAATGAATGGCTCATTGTTAGCACTTGAACGAAGTGCCGCGCAAACACAAAGGGCAAATCACATCTTTCTGAAATGCAATTTATTTTCGAAAAAAAGAGATAAAACCCCACACAGAATGGCACATTGACTGTGAATGTAGTGGCCGCTATCAAGCATTAAAAAGTCGCAATTTTGTGTTTTTTTCTGGGGTGAAGGCTAAGGATGAAGCAAGGTGGTTTAAACATTGCTTAGAATAAAATGCACAAAGTTACTGCTCCTGTTAATTTCCTCATAGGTTTAAAATAACAATCCTTTGCAATTGACACAGTATCTTATCACATCATTATTATTAAAAATAATAATAATAATAATAAGCCTTACATTTGATATAGTTCCTTATCATGTCTTCCAAGAAGTCTCAAAGCGCTTCTTGGTGAAACATCTCAAAGGATTTCAAAGGATTTACTGTAAAGTGCAGTGATTGGATATTCTGTAGATGAATACGGCAGAAAATTTGCACTCAACCAAACACCTAGGATGTGAATGATTAACTTTATCTGGAGGAGTGTTGACCAGGGCACTGAGAGAAACTCCCTTCTCATTTTGAACAGTGTTATGGGATCTTTAAAGTTTACCTGAATAGGCAGATGGGACCTCAGTTTTAACATCTCATCTGTAGAACAGAACTTCCAACAGTGCAAAGCTCCCCTATGCCACTGTTCTGGAATTGCTAACACAATCTGCTACCCCTACCTTCCTGGCCGGTCTACGCACTTGCATTGCTAGGCAGCACAAATGCTTTTCTATTCAAAGAACAACTCTGCTGAGCTTCCTAAACAGATTTCCTTTCTCATTTACTGCCACTTTCCCCTCAGTCTCAAGGTGATCAGGTTCCTCCCAGCAAAACGCTGCAATCTAACACACCGAAGCGATAGACTCGCAGACACTTTCTTGCAAATGAATGTTCTCCGAGCCTTTTAATTTCCCTGCAGATACATTTTTACCAGGTCAATGGAAATGTAAAATGAATGTTTGCACAAAAACACACTATATGCTCCACTAGGACTGTGCATTGATCAGGACCATTTAGCTGATGTATTTCCCACACAAATAGGCTGTTTTTCGGTGCATGGTTCATTGCAAATGATTGCTGTCTGTCTTTGTCACAGAGAGGAAATGGTTTTGATGCCCTGAAGCTGACTTCCTTAAAATAAGATGAGGTTAAGATGTTTGAATTTATTTATGCTAGGATCCTATTTCCCCTTCGGTTATGAAGTTCAAAGCAGAATCAGTGAATGGTAGAATATTTGTAAGTTTAATTTTTGTATTGTTTCTTTGACTCATCATTTGGAATCATCATATGCATTGCATATTTCAGGTGTCTTCATATGGCTGATAATTAATAAAGGTTGTATATTTTCTTAAGTAGGAGTGTGAAATGCTGGAATACTTTATAACTGCCAAATGTGATGTACCTCCTTAGTTCAGACTTGAATGAAGCTGTAGTGTTAAAGATACCATGACACTATCCAAAAAGAGAAGGGAGTTTCTCCCGGTGTCCTGACTCACAGTCCTCCAGACAAAAAACTTGGTCATTCACTTCATGGCTGTTTGCGGGACTTTGCTGTATGCAAATTGACTGCCACATTCACCTACAAAATATACAGTCACTAATACTTTACAGTATATCCTGTGAAGTGCTTTGAGATGTCTCAAAGAAGTGATAAGGCGCAATATCAAATGTAAATATTATTATTAACAATCCATCTGAGAGAGAGCTGAGAGGGTGGTTGTCATATCAGCAATGGAGAATATGACTGAATTGAAAGAATATATTATTGTAAATATTTCATGCTGTTGATGATAATAAATAATATTCCTAGCATTTGCTATAGCATTTATCACATCATTCAGACGTCTCAAAGGATATACTACTGTAGAGTGGTTTGACAGTTTATTTTATGGGCAAAACACATATTCAGTATATTGATATTCAGGATTGTCAAAACACATTTTAATATAATGGTGAATATCTTAGAATACAGGTGGATATTCTGGGATGGAGGTGGATTATTTGGGATGGGGTGGATTATTTGGGATGGAGATGAATATTCTGGAATTCTAATTAACATCACCTCCAGAGAAGCCTGGATTCCTCCTTGTTTAAAACCACGCTCATAACTCCTTAACATAGCGACAAATTTTCTCATCCCCTTTTAACAGATCCCATGCACGGACCGAAGAATCTGGAGGTCATGGAGATCAAGTCCAGAGAGCTCACGATTCGCTGGGAGCCGTTCGGTTACAATGTAACTCGCTGCCACCGCTACAACCTGACAGCCCACTACCGCTACATGGTGGGAGACTTGGAGCGTGTGGGCGAGGAGGTCTGCTGGAAAACCGAGTCCGTCAAGCCCCAATCCAGCCTGCGGGAGCTGCCCCCCTACACCAACATCAGTGTTAAACTGGTCCTGATGAACTCGGAGGGCAAAAAAGGAAAGCGAGGAGCTTGTGGTCCAAACAGATGAAGACGGTACGTTTAACATCACCTCCAGAGGAGCCTGGATTCCTCCTTGTTTAAAACCACTGTCATAACTCCTTAACATAGTGCCGAATTTTGCAACAAAAAAAACCCTCTTAAATCCAGTCTTACTTATGTTTGCCTACAAAATACACATTACAGTAAATCCTGTGAAATGCTTCGAGACATCCTCCCGATGTGAAGGGAAATGTATAAAATGCAATTGTTATTATGCTTCTCATTTACTTTGGGAGACGGTTTTCTCCCAAAGAAGAAAAGACTGGACTTAAGATTGTGGGCTTGGAATTCTTCTAAAGACAGCGTCTTCGATCGCTTTCTCTCTGTTCCCCCCCCACCCCCCGCACTCCCCACTAGACCTTCCGAGTTCCAAAAAGCGCTTTCAGAATTTTCAAAAACTCAGCAGACAATTAAATATTAAGGTATCGGAGTCGAGGCTGAGACTATGAGAAATTGTACGGTTGTGTTTCATGAAGGTTTGTATTGATGCCAATCAGCAGGGAAGGGATGTGATGTTGAAAGGTAATGGTACGGTTGTGTGGATTAACCAGCACTGGATGTCGGTGAGGTTTTCTATCAAAGCCAGTCTCCCCGTCATCGATTGGAAAGATTACACTTATCTACTGCAAGCACGTTGAAACTTTCTTTTTTATTCTTGCACAAAAGCTTCTTCTGGCGGAGGTAAAAGTATTCAGTGGCAGAGTTTCCCCAGGTGCAAAAACAAACCAACAAAAGGAAACAAAACCGAGAATGCTTTAACCTGTGAAGCCAGCATTGGTTAAAATATTGTACCTAAATCCATGCTCTCACTTTGACAAATTGCTTTGTATCACGGTTCTGCTCTTTTGGCATTAAGCTGGAAAGCTTCACTCACCTGATGGTTTAGGTTGTTACTCAGTGCATCTGAGCCCTGTCAGTTCTCATGGCCCCAGACTTAAGACCAGTGCGTCAGCCTGGCTCAGTGAGGAGCACTCTCACTCCTGAGTCAGAAGGTTGTGGGGTCAAGCCCAACACCGGGACTTTGAACCGGTTTCAAGGCCCTGTGTGGGACATTGCTGTGTGCAAATTGGCTGCATCATTTTACCTAGAGAATACATAGTCACAACAGCAACTTGCATTTATATGGCACCCTCACACAGGGTAGTGCTTCAGAGCGCTGAATGTCCTGTGAAGCACTTAGAGGTATCCTCCCAATGTGAAAGTTGCTGTATCAAATGCAATATTATTATTATTATTATATATGCACAGCCAAAGAAATAGTAATATGTATACAGTCACACAGTATTTAAGAGAAAAACCTGTGGCATACATGAGGGAGAAGGGAATAAAGGGTTTTAGGTGAATGGCTGAATGACCTGTTTCCGTTCCGTATCACTCGATGTAACTCAATGAAATTGAGTGCTGGTGTACACAAGCCAAGATCTGCCAGGAGTGAACCAAATCTGAGGATGAGAGCAACAGGATCAGAATGTCCTACTGGGCTCAAAAGGAGGAGCAATGTGCAGGGAGGATAAGTCTCTCCAAGGTCTCAATGCACTCGTTTAATCACTTGATAGTGCAATCGGAGGACAATGGAATGGGTATCCTGGGAGGAGAAGATTAGATGAGCCAAAAGATGGACTTGCGTTATCCAAACATCTCTTGTGAGCCTATGATGCCTTTTGACACTTCCCCTTTACATTTGCCCCCCAGTGCCTGGTGCAGTGCCCATGGATTCGGTGCAGGGCCGCACCTTTGCAGAGAAGATCTACCTCCAGTGGAAGGAGCCGACCGAAACGTTTGGAATCATCACACTGTATGAGGTAACAGTCAATGGTTTTATTCCCAGAGTTGCCCATTACACTAAACAGGGTTTCCCTATCCTGTCTTTCACACTCGGCCCGTTATTCTAAAATATATCGGGACTTAACTTTCCTCACGATAATCAGCAGGGCACTTTTCTCCCCCATATCCGTGTCAAGAGCCATTCTGCCTTCCCCCCCACCTCCGCAACATTGCCCGACTCCGCCACTACCTCACCCCTCAGGCCGCTAAAACCCTCATACACACATTCGTCACCTCAAGGCTCGACTACAGAAACTTCCTCCTTGTGGGCCTCCCAAACTCATCCCTCCACAAGTTGCAGATCATCCAGAACTCTGCAGCTCGTGTCCTTTCCCGTATCAGTCTCCGTGACCCCATCAGCCCCACCCTCGCCCGGCTCCACTGGCTCCCATCCCTCAGAGAATAGAATCCAAAATCCTTGTCCTCACTTTCAAGGCCCTCCACGCCTTGCTGACCCGCTGACCCCAATCAATGTGTCTGCTCCTTCCGTTCACCAGGCTCCGGCCTGCTCCATGTCTCCTGCCCGCCCTGCCCCACCATTGGCAGCCACGCTTTCAGCCTATCTCCCCCATCCTTTGGAACTCCATCCCACAATCCCACGCCTTGCTCCCTCCATTGCCTCCTTTTCGACCGTGCCTTCAGCTGCCCTCCTATCTCTCTGCCCTCCCTCACACCAACCCTGTCCCCCACCACCACTCTCGGGTCCAGAATCCCGAATGTTCAGCACCTTGGGACCTCCCCCCAAAGGGCAAATGTGCAAACAGTTGGTGCCTTCATCAAGTCCTGCCATTGTTAAGCCCTCCGAGAGACTACCCCTCATGATGGGTACTAGTGGTCATCACCCACTAATCCCATACACCAGCTATCTTTTTATTAGTTGCTTATATCCCCATTCTCACCTACAAAATACACAGTCACTACACTGTGAAAATATCCTACAGTAAAACTATCCTGTGAAACACTTTGAGATGTTTCAACGACATGATAAGGGGTATAATAATACTATCAATAATACTTGCATTTGGCGTAGCGCCTTTTGTGTTGGGAAGACATCTATAATAATAATACTTGCATTTGATATAGCGCTTTTCACGTCTTCTCGACATCTCAAAGCGCTTCACAGAATAGACTGTAAAGTGAATTGACTGTATATTTGTGGGCGAAAATCTCAAAGCATTTCATAGGATTCATTGTAAAATACATATTTGTATTGGTGGCAGCTATATCAAGTGCAAGTATTGTAATTTTATTACTGTTGTCATATTCCATGTGAACACAGAATGTTAGTGTTAGTGATCAGTGAGCGATAGTCAGGGATATAATGAACAAGATCAGGAGCCTGTCAGTTTTCTCAGCTTCCAGGATAGCAAAGGATTTTACAACTCGGGACTGAACCACTTGTCAGACTTGAAAACTATAATCCTACTCTCGTGAGCTAAAACATCTCCGTTTCGTATTTCTTTTTCAAATAAGACAAATGACCCCAAATTTCTCATGTTCTTAAAGACTTAATTGTCTTATAATTTAAAATCATGTGGAATTTCAGAAAATTCTTCAATCCCTTCCTGGTTTGAAAGCTGTGAGAGAGAGTGTGAGGCAGCAAGTCACAGACTGACAGAGTCCGAGAGAGAGAGAGAGAGAGAGAGAGAGAAAAAGAGACAGAGAGAGACAGAATCAGAGACATGCAGAGTCAGAGAAATACAGAGCCACAAAGACAACAAGAACAACAAAATAACATTTATAGAGCGCCTTTCACATTGGGAGGACGATTCAAAGAGCTGGACAGTTAGGGGTCAGGACCCGAGCATTGGGGAGGGATGGGGTAGGGGTGAGGGAAGGCAGAGAGGTGAGAGGGCGACTGAATGCACGATCGAAGAGGGTCTTGAGACCGGCCTTGAAGGAGGAAGCGAGGCAAAGGGACTGTGGGATGGAGTTCCAGAGTGTGGGGGCAGAGAGGTTGAAAGCCCAGCCACCAATGGTAGGGCGGGTTGTGCGGGAGACACGGAGCAGAGAAAGAAAAAATAGACAGAGTGAGTGTGAGAGAAAGACAGGGAGAGAATCAGACAGCCAGAGACTAAGACAAGTCAGAGAGAGAGAGAGAAAATCAGCGACCAAGTTAATGGAGAGAGGCACACACACAGTCCGAGATAGAAAGAGACAAAATAATAATAAGAATAATAATAATCCTTGCATTTGATATAGCGCTTTTCATGTCGGGAGGACGTCCCAAAGCGCTTCACAGAACACACTGTAAAGTGAATTGACTGTATATTTGTGGGCGAACGTGACAGCCAATTGCGCACAGCAGTGTTCCACAAACAGTCATGTTTGACCCTTGGAAAAACGATCCGCCAATCGACTAACAACCAGGTTCCTATTTACTGCTAAGTAAATAGGGGTATGTGGGGAAAGGTAACTTGCCCAACGTTTCACCCTGCCAGGAATCAAACCTAGGTCTCTCACTTGCTAGTGCTCTAACCACTGAATTACAGTGGTTAAGTTAGGAACAAAATCACTTAGAAGTGTCCCTAGGCCCATAACAATAATAATCCTTGCATTTGATATAATGCTTTTCACGTCTTCTAGACGTCTCAAAGCGCTTCACTGAATATGAGGTAGAGAAAGAAGGAAAGAGAGAAAAACAAAGACAGAGAAACAGGGAAAGAGAGAGATAAACAAGGACACGGAGAGACAGGAAAAGAGAGAGAGAAACAAGGGCAGAGAGACCAGGAAAACGGAGGTGGAGCGAGAGAAAGAGAAGTGGATGTCGAAGTTAATGATGATTCGGTGTAATTTTTGCTTCGCTCTCTCTTTAATTATAAATGCAGGTTTCTGGGCTCCTGTGAATAACCGGTGTAATTTCCCATTGCTTTGCGAACACTTCTCAATCAGAAGCACATTTGCTGTAATTCCTGCGGGAAATGCCACTCTGCCTCTGCCAGAGCCCAGACTTCTTGAAGAAGTGGTCGCTTGATTATAAATTGTTGCGGATTGATTTATGTTTGGAATAAATGAGAGCAGTGATTTCATCTCTTCCCAAACCTGATTAAACGAAAATACCCCGCCCCCCCACACCCCAACAACTTAACACAGATAATTAATTTGTGCCTCAGTACCTTCCTATCTCTGTGACCTTCTCCTATTCCACTGTCTGCTCACTCTCCTCTCCGCAGGAAACTCTCTCTATCTGCTGCTGCTACGCTTCTCCCGCTCCCTCTGTCCTGCCATCAGTGTCTGGACCTTCAGCCTTTGGAACTCCCTCCTTACCCCTCCATCTCGCTCTCCCTCCCCCACCCCCACCTAAAACCCCAGCTCTTCAACCACGTTCACCTCACGTCCTCCTCTCTTGCACAGCATCCGACCCCTTCCCAGTGAAGCACTCTTGATATGCTATACTATGTGAAGGACGCTATATAAATGCAAGTCGCTGTTGTTATCTTTGGAAGAAGTTGAGCCTTCCTTTGATATCCAGGAATATTCACTTGTACTTTTAGTGTTTCACTTTTATCTCCCTACTCCAATTTTCCCTCTTCCTGTCGTGTCTTTTGAACGAGACATTAATCCGAGGGCCCGCCTGCCTTTACAGCTGGATATTAACAATCTGTGACAGTGTTATTTGAAAACGAGAAGGGAGTTTCTCCTGGTGTCCTGGCCGATAAACCTTCAGATAACTTGCTCATTCATGGGACCTTGCTGTGAAAGCTAGCTGCTACACTTGCCTGCAGTAACAATTACTATACTTGCAATAACAGTAACTACTCTCAAAGAACTTTGAGACGTTTTGACGACGCTATAGGCAAGGATTATTATCACCCTCAAGAATCTACAGTAAATAATAATCCTTGAGTTTTGATGAGTTTTCCTTGGATGAAGACTGCTGAGCACAATATTGGCTAGACCAAGTCCATTTATCTACTTTAACAATACGGCGCCTTTTTAAAACCACATTATCTGAATGTGAAAACTCATACAAAGCTTTTTTCCCCCCTTCTTAAATTGAATATTTCCACCTCTATAAGCCACTATATTTTGAACAAAACACAGAAACTTATAGCACATACTTTCTGAATCCTGCCCAAAGCAGAGAGGATGTTACAAAGAAGCTGCAGACAACACACAAAATAAAAATATCACTGACAAGATCACATATAAATGAATGATTCTTACCTTTATTAGAACATGTTCACCTTCAAACCCTTATCAGGAGATAGGAATCTTTCTATTATATTCCTATCTTTGTCAATTTGTCTTTCTGCCACGTGTACTATCTAAGCCATCAGCTGCGCTATGCATTCTATAAGTGCTTCAAATGTGTTGGTGTACTTACAAATCAGTGTGTGTTTTAATGCTTTGAGGCCCTATCTTGCATGAAGGGCAGTGTATGTAAATGCAAGTTCGTGGAGTCTTGTAGCTCAGTAGTTAGAGCACAGAGAGACCTGGGTTCAATTCCCAGCAGGGCAAAATGTTGGTCAAGTTTCCTTACTCCACACAGCTCCGTACCTAGCAGTAAATAGGAATCCGGTTGTTAGTCGATTGGGGGGGTTCGCTCTTCCAGGGGTAATAATTCCTTCAAAAAATAATAATAATAATAAATCGGTTACTTCAATCCACAACTATTTGTGGGACACTGCTGTGTGCAATTGGCTGCCGTGTTTTGTCCACAAAATATACAGTCAATTCACTTTACAGTATATTCTGTGAAGCGCTTTGAGACATCTCGAAGACGTGATAAGGCGCAATATCAAATGCACGGCTTATTTTTATTATTATCATTGTGCTTGTAAACCGCTGAGCTATACCACTTTGCATTTGCCCCAATTGCATCCAGAAATCACTAATGTTTTAAGGTGGGATTTAAAGACTGAGAGACAGTGCCGAACTGCCAGGGGGAGAGATCAGTTCCAGCTAAGAAGCCCAAAATCTGGAGCCCCCAAATTCCATGTAGTGTTAGCCTGTAATACCATTTTGTCTTAAAATTTAGAATGGGGCAGAGTTCGGGAAATAGACAGTTCTCAAATGTTGGCAAGCCGGTACCTCTTTTAGAGCTTGCAATTGCAAAGGAGTAGAGCAGACACAACCACACAGGCGCAATGTAATGATGATTGAGTCTAATTTGCTGTAATAATAACCTTTCGGCGGTGTCAGATAAATAATATTCCACAGGATATGCTCTGATCAGCTGCAAAACTGCTCATTGGGTGCTAACTCGGATTTAATTATTGAATAATTCTGTGCATTTCACTTTACAAATTTGAGGGGAGTGTAAATTATACGCCATTTGTCTAGTTTTATCCAAAGTTGTGCACAGGCAGTAAATTCTGAAAGCAGTTATAAAGAAATATAGTCTAAATAAAACCCTGTTTTATCAGGGAGCCTCAAATTGGATTATTCTGTACATTTCACTGTACAAATTTGCCGGTTAGTCTCAATTGTGTGCTAATTCATGGCTGTGATGTGGGGCATTGCTGTGCGCAATTTGAATGTCAAGCCTACCTTACGAAATACAAAGTCACTACACTTCACAATAAAAATTCTGTGGAGCACATTGACACAACCCCCTGCCACGAAAGGCAGTGTATCAAGTGCGACGATTGTTATATTATTATAAGTTAACTTGTTTTGTTCAAAGTTGTTGTAGTTTGCCTACAAATAGAGAGTGACCACACTTTACAATAAATTGTGTGAAATGCTTTGAGTCGTTTGTCAATGTGATACGGCGTTCTATCACATGCCAGGATTATTGTTATTAATAATAATAATAATATTGTCTAAACATGTAAGATTGTGATGAAATTTGGAAGGCTCGTCAGTTTAGGATATATAAAATCTTTCTGAGATTGCAGGGCGTGTTAACTTTTAAGACAAAGTGGGTTTCCAGGATGAGATGAAGTAAACTACAATGTTTCTGAAGCTGCCAGCTGCACAGTGGTGCAATTTTCCTGTGTCTTTAAAGCTGATAAAATGCAAACCATTTACTGAGAGGAGGCTGCCCCTGCAAGACAGAGTATTTCCATTAGATGTGAAAATGAGTGCCTAGAAAGTCAGTCTGACACGCTTTAGAGATGAAGCCACATAGAAAGAATCTGCAATCAATCTTTTCCTTTCCGTAGTGAGGTGCAAAGGCGCAAACAGAATTCTGCTCTGTAATAGACTGAAGGTAAAAAAATACACACAAACAACAGTGAATGCTTGTGGTTGCTTTGCTCAGATTTAAAAGATACTCTGCTGATATGAGCGTCCAGCTCTAACCCTTGTCTTGCTCTCTCTTCTCTTCTCTCTCTCTCTCTTAGTCCCTATAGTCAGTGTAGGGAAAATCAGCCAAATTTCCTGCTTTCTGAGCCCTATCCGTCATCCAGCTGATGAAATGATCTCTACTGATCATCTTTTTCATCTGCATCCAATGAGGAGAGAAAAAAAAACACACACATCAGACAATGAGCTTCTAACATTAAACAATGTGTGTCTGACATTAGCCAGTTGGTGTCTGACATTAGAAACTCATATAATCGCAAATAAACCACGAATAAAGAAAACCTAACTTTACTGTGGGGTGGGATAGAGAAATGGGAGGCAGGGGCTGAGAAAGACATGAGCACATATTAGTGGCAGGTCATTCAATCTAATATTCAAACCGGTGTGGCTTGGCTTTGACCTCATCATGGTCTGTGCCGGGTTTGGGATGTACTGGCCCACATTCTATCCTGGAGCACCATTCCTCCCCTCCTCTTTCCTTGCATCACACACACCCCTGTTTACCTAGCAGTAAGTAGGAACCCGGTTGTTAGGTAATTGTTAGTTCGCTTTCCAAGGGGCAATAATCACTTCAAATTTTTTTTTAAATTGGTCACTCAATCCACGGCTGTTTGTGGGACATTGCTATGCGCAATTGGCCTCCGTGTTTCGCCCACAAATATACAGTCAGTTCACTTTACAGTATTCTGTGAAGCGCTTTGAGGTCTCTGAATGGCATGATAAGGCACTATATCAAATGCAAGGATTATTATTGTTATTTTCTCTTTGAACCTTTTCCTGAACAGGTCCACTACAAGGGTGTTGGATCCTTTGATCCTAAAATTGACTTGTCCAACCAAAGTGGCCGAGTGTTCAAGCTAGGAAATGAGACACATCACCTGTTTGTTGGGCTGTACCCGGGTACCACATACTCCTTTACCATCAGGGCCAGCACCGTCAAAGGCTGTGGAGTCCCCATCATCACACAGTTTACCACCAAGATATCAGGTAAGGACGAGACAATATAGGAGGTCACTTCACTTCTTAGAATGATTTTGAAATGCTCCTAACTTGTGTTTGACTCCCGCGCAGTGGTGAGGGAGCACCGCATTATTGGAGGTGTCTTCCTTTAGATGAGACATTAAACCCAAATGCCAGTTCAGGTGGATATTTAAAGATCTTATGGCACTACTCAAAAAGAGAAGGGACATTGCACAAATCATAGAATCTTACAGCACGGAAGGCAGCCATTCCGTCCATCATGCCTGTGCCAGCTCTTTGAGCTATCCAACTAGTCCAACTAGTCCCACTTCCCCACTCTTACCCTATAGCCCTGTAAATGTTTCCTTTTTAAGTACCTATCCAATTCCCTTTTGAAAGCTATTATCTAATCTGCTTCCACCACCCTTTCAGGAAGTGCATTCCAGACTGCAACAACTCTCCAGATTTAAAAAAAGTCTCTTCGTCTCCCCTCTGGTTCTTTTGCCAATTATCTTAAATCTGTTTCCTCTGGTTACGGAACCACCCGACAACAGTTTCTTCCTATCTACTCTATCGAAACCCATTGAATTTAATTTTGAACACCTCTATTAAAAATGGCTGCCGCGTTTCCCCACAAAACACACATTGTACATTATAATGTGTGAAACGCTTTGAGACGTCCTCCTGACACATTAGGTGATATACCAAAAGTAAGGATAGTTCATATTAATTATTAATATTATTATTTTGAAGAAAGGAATGGGGGTAATTAATCTCACGATTGTCTGACTTTCTGTCTCCATTTTGTAGCACCGTCCATGCCCGCCTATGATTACGACACGCCTTTGAACCAGACTGACAGCACAGTGACCATCCTGCTGAAGCCTGCTCAGAGCAGAGGAGCTCCCGTGAGGTAGAAGCCAACATTCTGAGGTTGGGAGTGGGGTGGGTGGGGAGAGGAGAGGAGGGTCAAAATACGCTATGTGATAATTAACATGTTTTGCACAGAACACTGTTATATTGTGACCTTAATCAGCCGTTCCTCCTAACCCACCCCCCAGTTTAGTTGACTCATTAGTTGTGTGAAATTTGAGACGTTCTCCCAACAGGAAAGGCACTGTGTAAATAATCGTTGGTGCTATGGCTTGTGGTTTGATATCTGAAGAACTCTTCCTTGCTCATCTCTGGGCAACACCCTTTTTACTTTGACAAGGTGTCAGCCTTAGCTAATTGCTCTGGAGCTTGGAGGTGTGTTAACACCTATGTGGGCTCCTTCCGTTGTGAACCCTATAGTGATCTGTGCTCTTGCTTTAACATTGATAGCTCCTATGTGAGAGGCGATGATCCAGCTGATTATGTGTGGGCGTTGCAATGCAAACCTTTGCTGCCCATTGGAAACCATCTGATGTGAAGTGCTACGTGTCTGTGAAGCACCAGTCAGCGCCAAAGCTGAAGTGAACCACCCGTGTGTCCACGGTGCACACACGTTAACACATGGGATTGGTGGTACAAGCTAGTCAGACGGTATTGTGCTTTGCTCCTAGTTGTTATCTCTGCACCTGTTAAATTATGGAATTGATGAACCATTCAGTCTCCACGAGTTAGTTTCAGTCAGGAAGCTTGTTTGTCTGGTATTGATCAGTGTATCAGTGTATTTGCTTTTTCTAAAGCCAGTTACTCTTCCCTCACATCTACTGATTCTGTACTCTTGGAGGGAGGGAGGGCAAGCAGCTCCTATTGGTTTTCTCCTCCCTCCACATGTGTGGCCATCCTTTAGTCCCATTCTGTGGAGCCTCAAAATAAGTTGTGATTGCTGACATTTTGTGGATTGGATGCCAGCGTCTCACTACGGAACGTCATGCCGAGTAAAGAGAAGAGAGAAATGGGAAAAAAAGACACCAGGGATCTCAGGGACAGCACAGAGCAAGTCATGGAACGTCATGCTCCACACAAGGCAGGCAGAAGAAAACAGCTATTAACCTTGTCACTGCAGAGCCATGCAGGGCTCCCATTATTCAGAATAAGAAAAGAGAGTGTCTCCTGGGGACCCAGCCCAATGCTTTGAGACGTGTTCCCGCTGTGAAAGTCGCAAATGTCAAATGCAAGGATGAAGATTATTATTAATATTATTAACGCTGCCCAATTTTAGAAACGCAACAACGCTACCCACCTGAACTGATGACTGTCAAATGAAGTTAAAGACAGATAAATGCAAGACATTGCACATAGGAAGTATGTAGGAATAGTAACCACATGTACTTCATGGATGAGATGAGACTGGAATAGGAGAACCTGAAAGACACCTATTGGTAGTTGACTCATTACACACCCTGTCAAAACAATGTCAGGCAACAATAAACAAGGCAGCTGAAGTCATAATGCACACCATTCAGCTGTGTTTAGATCCCCAGAAGTTATGTTCAAGTGTACAGTGCTCTCTCTGGTAGGCGACATTTGGGGTAGTATTGTGAACAATTCTGCTCAGGACCTAAAGGCAGAGCAGAGCAACGAGGGTGATCTCTAGGTTAAGAGGGATGAGCTATGAGGAATGATAAGCTAATCTCTTCGGCTTTGAAAAGAGACATTTAGAGAGAACCTTATAAAGGATATAATAATAATAATAATCCTTGCATTTGACATAGCGCCTTATCATGTCTTCAAGACGTCTCAAAGCGCTTCACAGAATATACTGTAAAATAAATTGACTGAATATTTTGTGGGCGAAATGCAGCACCAATTGGACAGTAGTATCCCACAAACTGTCATGGATTGAAGTGACCAATTCATTATTTTTTTGAAGGAATTATTACCCCTGGAAAAGCGATCCGCCAATCGACTAACAACCGGGTTCATACTTATGCTAGGTAAAGAGAGGCGTGTGGAGTAAGAAAATTTGCCCAACATTTGGCCCTGCCGGGAATCTAACCCAGATCTCTTGCTTGTGAGGCGAGTGCTTTAACCACTGATAACATAGGGAAAAAAATATAAGAAATGTCTTGAGTTTTGACCAAAATCTCATTGTATTATTTCAAATATTTAAGCGAACATAAAAGTTCCCTCTGCTACTTACATTTCAAGTAATGCTGGTATCTAGAAAGTTGAACAACAGCAAGAACTTGCACTTATAGAGGGGCCTCATGCAGGATAGCGTCTCAGAGCACTTAAGCATAAATTGGTGAAATCTGATTCACATCTTTTACAGAAATGCCATTTATGGATATCTTTTAAAATCTCCCTTTGCAAAAAAGCAGCTGAATAATTAGAAATTATTAAAACATTTGTAGCAGCTTTATACATACATTTTCTTTAGATTTGAAAATCAAATTTACCAGCGTAATGCAGAATATTATATTACCCCTCAATTTCAACAGCTTTTGGAATGTATAAGTTTCATAAAGTTAATGTTATAGAATTATACAGAAGTTTGTAAAAAATTCCATCCTAAAATATGGCTGTGACATGGCTGTGCATCCTAAATAAATTCACACAAGCCAAAGATTTCAAATTTTTTAGACCATTCAAAGTAAAATCCACAATTAAGCTGCATTTGCGTTTATTATATTTACTGCAAAGATGACCTTACGTAAACTCTAAATGAAAAGGGGAGCACACTCTGGTTATACTTTAACTCAACTTAGATGTTACTATAGTTTGTCACAAATGCTTTCACAGAGGAAAGACTGCCACAATTGAAAAGAGTTGCTGTGGTTAAACAGTCCTAAGATCATGCCATTTACTGTGTCCCTAAATAAAGGAGGCACTCCATTAAAAATCTAACAATCCATAATATGAATCTTCCACAAGGTAGTCTTATAAACCTGACTGCTCTTTCACTAAATAATGTGAGTTTCCTTACAGTTTTTAAATCAAGTCTAACATGAAGTTTCAGATGACTTCCAGAACTTGTGACAAAACCGCAGATATCTCGCATTTCTCGGTCATCAGGGTCAGCAATGGTGAAGCCATTGGAAGCCAATAATGCACAGACAATTAATTTAGCTAGAATGTCCATGATATATAGTGAATATTATTGAGAAAACAAAAGTAGAATAATATGTTCCGAAACACTTAGGCAGCAGAACAAGAGGACATATGTTCAGAGTTGTGATTTCAGGACAGACACTAGAAAGTATTTCTTTACCTAGAGGATAATTAATGACTGGAACAAGTTATCAGGAAGGGTAGTTGAGCCCAGGATATTTAAGAAACAGCCCAATGCCATGATGAGAGGACAGGTAGGATGAGTATTTGGGAAGGATAAGGCAAACCTCTCGCATGATCTTGTGATATTTTGTGCTTGAATCAGTAGTCCCATAAACTGCATTCCATTTCATCGCTCGTTCACTAATTCAATTTGCACTGAAGCCAACCAACCAAAAACAATTGATCTTTAAAAAAATACATTTTACTACAAATCAATTAAAAGTTCTCATTTGCTCTAACTGATGTCTCTAGCCACCGTTTGGCAATGCATTGACTCTGTCCAGTGAATCTACCATCCCCAAAAAGAGCTCTAATGAGTGGAGAATGTATTACGTGTGTGGCAGGATTTTATTTCACTACAAAGGAGCCTGGTGACATTCACCAATAAAGGTCACACATGAATAATGATCACTTGAGCCAGGTAATGATAATTTTTGCATTTGATACAGCTCCTTATCCTGTCTTATCAGGTAGGTATTCTTCAGATGTATTGGTGGTATACTGCAACCATTTGCTTGGGTTAGTTATGTTAGTTATGTGCTCATCCATTGTAGGCCTCCAAATAATAATGATGACAGTCATAATCCTTGCATTTGACATTGCGCGTATAATATGATCAGAATATTTTTGTGACTGTATTTGCAGGCGAACCCCAATTTGTGCACAGCAATGTCCCGCTAACAGCCATGAAATGAATAACTGATTTTTTTCTGGAGGTTATGGTGTCCGTGTCACTGGGAGAAACACAATGCCGTAATTCCATCCCATAGTGTCTAAAAGGGCTAATATTACCTTAGTTGAATGTTACCTCCGAAGGATGGCACCTCCAACAATGCAATGCTCCCCCAGAACCACACTGGAGCGTCAGCCTTAACTGTGAGTTCAATGTCCTGATGTGGGGCTTGAACCCACAACCTTCTGTTCCAGAGGCGAGAGTGCTACCAACTGAGCTAGGCTGGCCTCAAAAGTTTGTTAATTTATAATGGTGGGTAAAAATATGATACCATTAGCAGTGGCATTATCACCATCATAAAATGCAGAGGAGGAGAATGAGGGGAAGAAGGGAGGAATGGCTTCCCTATTATCGATATCACAACCCTGCATTTCCTCTCTGCCCACCCTCCCCCCTCCTGCCCCCCACCATACACCCAGGAATTCTAGTCATTGTTTCAGTGTTGAATTACTTAGAGAAAGCACAAAGCTGTCCTTATACCAACTTCCACATATATAGTGCCCTCCACTTGGGAAAACACCTTAGAGTGCTTTGCAGAGACCGAGTGAGTTTAGTAAATTTATCGTGTTTTGCAATTAAGAAATCCCATTAAGAAATATTGCAAAATTGACCCCCTCCAGGCCGTGATCACTCACTCGGATCCATTCTGTTATATACAGTAATATGGATTTTTCTATAGATTTGTTGGGTTAAAATATAGCTGTGCTGTAGAGTTTCCCATTGATCAACTGCAGATTATTTATCGATGAATTTGTAGCTACAAAGTGACCATTCTTAATAATCCAAGATGAATGACGACACATATCAGGGCTTCACATAGCTCTCAATTGATTTCTTCGCCAAATAACTACTTATTTCCCTCTGTTCTAAAGCCCGCTCACTCTCACCATTATTGCTTTTATTTTCAACACATACATTGGAAATTTTTCGCTGGGTTAAACCTGGTTTATACAAGCTGACATTGGTTATAATGTCTT